AAAGATGCAGTAAGAGGCCTAGGGTGCTCTAGTTTTATGGAAGACACAGTAAGATGCAATTTAAAGAGGGAGTTGATAATCATCATCACCATCGAATTCTAAAAAATCTGCCAGATATGATGAAGACTGAATAAAGATCAAATTTAGCTAATTTAGAGTGGTAAAAGTAGGAGCCACGTTTGAGACCATGAAGAAGAGAGAGAAGGTGCTCTGGAAGAGTAAGATTCAGCATTGGGCTGGTATTCGAATTTGAGTCACAATTTATTTCAAACAGTTTGAAGAAGAAAAATAAGACTTGTATCTCAATGCTTTCCAACAAAATATACACATGCATAATGGCAAATTATTAACACAGGGGTAGTCAGTTCATAACAACTTAGAGGAAAAATTAAATTTTTTATAACAATATATTTTTTCATGATGAATTTATCCTTAAAATTTTTTTTTACAAATTTATTTTAGGGACTTTCTGGTCTCCATATTCTCATAAGTTGCATTCTGTGGGGAGAAAACAAACAAAAAACCCATCACAGTGAATAATTGAATTGCTCTGTGGCCATCATGCCTTTCTAAGCAAGCATTGAATATAGGAGGTGTATTTATGATAACCAGAGACAGAGTATGTATAGCTTGGCTCCATAAGGGTAATGTTCTTTGTTCCTATATCTACCTTTTGTACTTTCCAGCCCTTCCCTCATAATGTTATTGGGAAAGTTAACAACTAGCGTAACATTTTGAAAATCCAAAGTGTTTATACCAACAAGATTATTCACAGTCAAATTTTCTCATGAATATCGCTGAGACCTATTATTTATTTTAATTTTAACCAAGAGTAAAGGCATTGAATATAGAGCTCTGGTTTTAGAAACCAACCTTTAAAAATAATGAGATAATGACACAGTGAATAAAGATGCATCAGGGTTCAGCCAAGTTATTTTTTAAGGTTAGAAAAACTGATTTTGAAAATGCAAAGGCAGACACAAGATCAGTCAAGAGGGAAAGAATAAAGATACAAGAGAAGTAGAACAAGTCATGGAGCAAAGTATCTGAAAATGTAGAAATGAATGGGAAAACCTAATCTCTGAAAAGATATAAAAGGACAGATGGAAGGAAGGAAGGAAGGAAGGAAGGAAGGATGGAAGGAAGGAAGGAAGGAAGGAGAGAGGGGGGAAGGAAGGGAGAGAGGGAGAAAGGAAAAAAGGTAGGAGGGGGAGGTAAAGTAAGAAAAACTAAGGAAGGAAAAAGGAAGAGAATGGAAGGAAAGAAGAGGGAAGGGAAGGGAAGGAAAAGGGAAGGGAAAAGGGACTTAGATAGTTTTCACTGGATAGGAAAGAAACTGAGGAAGTTTATAATCATGTACTCTTGTTTCTTGCTGAGATGAGGGGCTGAGTTATCCGCAAATATGAGGAGTGTTCTAAGGGAATGATAAAGGACTCGAGCCATTGAGTAAAATCAATTGATATTGCAAATTATCCACTTGTGATTTTAAGAATTTCTTGATGATGCAACTTTCCCATCTATTCTTGATTGTCTAGAGTATTTTCCTCCTCTAGTGCCTTTGCTGCCACACTGATTAAATCAATATTGATTGACAACCTCAGTGGGATATTTCCATGTGTCAGGAAGAATAGTACTATCAGCTGTACCCAATTCATGGTGATTTAGAAACACATTTATTTTCTTATATAATAAGAAATTCCAGTGCACACATGAAGAATATGCAATTACCAGACATATTTGCTGTCTTTAGTGTGACAAGTTTATATAGTTCGAGTGTCTGGGTTTTGTGATACAGATATACAAACATACAAACTTATGCAGTAGAGTTGTCTATCCCAATGATTACTAGACTTCTGGATTTCATGCACCAGTAAAATACAAATGGGAGGACTGACACCAGGTTGCCAATTTTACACTTGGTCAAATAAAATATTAAAACAAATAACTCATTATCACGTATTCTCACCATCATTTCAAAAGAACATTTAAACATTAAATGATATTAGTCTTTAGAAAACAATCTAAAAGACACAATTTTAGAATAAAGGTCTTTAACTTGGATATGTTCAGTTTTATAAACATTTATGGCATTATTCTTAATTTTCTGGCTTAACTATAGACATGTGAAAACTTTGTCATAGGGGTGCTGCTCTGTGGAGCTGTGTTTGGAATTACTCTTTACACCCACAGTGTCTGGTCCTCAGCTTAGACAGCAAAGCGCCACCTTCTGTTATTGTATAGACAGAATCACCAGAGTGTCTATCACAATTCTCCAAATCAGATCTATTTAGCATCAAATACTGGGGCCTTAACCACTATGCTACAGATATTTTCTAAAATATTCTCATTGTAATTAAACAGTGACTATTATGAAGAACAAGGAAGGTAATCATTTCGTGACTTTTCAGGAAGATTACTGCTAGGAAATGAGAATAGTAGTTAAAAAACCAGTATACATTGAATTAATTACAAACAGTAGATCTAATTTTGAAGGTAGAAATTATAAAGTCCAGGGCATACAAAATATGATAGTGTGAACGCGCAGACATAGGCGCTTCAATAACACACAGCCAAAAAAAAATCCTCCCCTTTCTAAAGACACACAGACATCTATACTTTCATCTATTTCTGTTTACATACATACATACATATATATACACATGTAACTCATTTTTCTTTGAACTGATTCAAGAATGAGTTGCAGACATTGTTGCATTCACCCCTAAATATTTTAGCATGCATTTTCAGAGAACAAGAACGTTTTCTATTTTCATGGAATAGGCACACTAGTCTTAACAAAATTGGGAAAATTAGCACTATTATAATACTAATAACTAGTAAATAGTCCATATTCAAATGTATTCAGCTTTCCCAATAGTAGTATTTATCTGTTTTTTTTTAATTTGATATTCCATCCGGAATTGTGTTTAGTTGTCATAGTTCTTTGACCTCATGGAATTCTTTAGCCTTTCTTTGTCTTTCATGACATTGACATTTTTAAAGAGTTCGGTCCAGTTATTTTATAGTGTGTCCTCAATTTGGTTTTCCTTCTGGTTAGATTATGGTTAGAAGTAATGTGGCCCTTTCAGTATATTTTATCAGGAGGCACATAGTATCAGTTGGTCTCAGAATTGATGATATCTCTGAAGGTATTGTCTGCTGTGTTTCTCCAAAGTATATTTTCTTCTTTTTAAATTTTTTATTTAGTAGAGAAGAGATACCTTAAGATGATGTAAATATCCTATTCCTCATCAAACTTTCACCCATGTTTTAATACTCATCGATGATTCTTGTATGAATCAATTGTCATTAGGATGATTGCCAAATAGTGATTTTCTAACTCCATTATTTCTTCTACAATTGTTAGTTAGCATTCAACTGCAAGAAACAGATTTGTATTTTTCCTTATTTATTTACATCAGTATGTATTTGTTGATTCTTATTTTATTCAATGAATTATAATCTTTTACTATGATTTATTTTGATGCTCAACTTGCCCCAGATTTGGTCAGTGGGAAGCCTCTTCTACTTGGTTCCTGCATCTTACTGGCATGACCTCATCATTCTTTGAAGAATAATTACTTTTTACCACAGAAAATATCATGCCAAATATGTCAAAATGAATGTGGAGATTTATATGATTATGTTTTACCAGTTCTTCTCTTTGTATTTGGAAAGGTAACAGTGAGTAATGGAGTGGACGGGTAGTATAAAAATTCTGCAGAGTTTATCCTGTAATTCTTACCTATCTTAGTTGGAAATGGAAATTTTTTTCAGCTACTAATATATCAGAATTAATTGAGGTGTTGTTTTAGGATTGTGATGTTATGAAGAGGCAAAGTCATTCCATTGTACAAGGATGGGAAAAGCACTTTTAATTACTGTCCCTTTTCCGGTGGAGGCTATATTCCCTCTTCTGGCTTCACCTGATGACAAGGGAAGGCTTCTCATTCCTCAGAAATTTAGATAGATTTATTTAGACTGTTAATTTTACTATCTGGACCACCTGAGTAACCTTTCCATGATATCTATGAATTCTGCACTGGACTTCATTGTGGTTCCCCCAGTTACTATTTTTCTTTATCTGCAAAAGTTAACAAGATTAAGACCCCAAGCTGAAGCAAGGCACATCTTTGCTTCCTGCTGACTTTCATGAGCTATTGAATCACCTTGTATCAGCCAGGCAGGAGACAGATGGCATGCTGAAATGAGGCATATAGAAGAATTTCATGAAGGGGACATTTACAAAGATATCAGCAATGTTAGGAGAAAGCTACAAGGAATTCAAAAGCACTCTCAATGCAGCAGCAGACCTGAAGGAGCAAGGGGAGGGGTGATTACCAGACCCCAGAGAAAGCAGCTTCAGTTGTATGAGGGGCAGTCTGATTGGAGTATGACTTTTGGGGGAGGAATGAGTCCAGTGCCAACCCAGGGCAACCCAGCAAAGAAGGAATTGGAGAAGAAATATTCCTATGTCAATCTTCTCTCTCTGGTGCTTTCCCACTGGTGCTTCTTATTGGCCAAACCAATTGGGAGCTCAAAGGTAGGAGAGCCCATTGATACAGTGTGTAGAAGTCACCCTTCTGGGACACACGGAATGATACAGAAGCATAGAGAGTGTCTCTGGAGGAGCAAACACAGTATCCTACACACATGGCAACTCTAAATTTTTAAATATGATTTAAAGATTTATTTTCATAGCTCAAGTGGTCATCCACCATCACTCTGGCTCCCATACTTCTCTTCCTCCTGGAAACACTAGCTATCCTCTGACACCAGTTCTTCCCCCTAACAGAGAACACACCTGCTGCTTGTAATTCTGGGAGGTCATTACCCCCTACCCCCAGTGACATATCTACCCTAGGTTTTCTTGTCAACCTGGGCATGCCGCTGTGTGTGTGTGTGTGTGTGTGTGTGCTCCCCTTCTCCCCCAATTTGTAATGTAAAAAATCTCCATATCATTATAATATTCTGTTAACAAAAAGTGACTGGGCAAACAATAAAATAAAAAATGTAATCTTTATTAGTTTTGCACATTTTAAATGTTGGTTAGCATTATTTAGCATAATAGTAGCATTTTCCAGCATGCAGTTCACGAATACAATTTATCTAAGTAGTTTTAAGAAAAAGAGGAGCCTATGGTTTGCTTCTGTAAGAAACACAAAATGTCCTGATGTAATTGACTATATAAGTTGACTACTCTGTTTTTGTGAAAAAAAAATTATGAAGCCCACATTATATTTAGAACAATCTAGAGTAGCATTATTCCAAAGAAATGAAAACATAAACCAAAGTCAGAAAAAAAGAACAAAAATAAAATAAGCACTACCTTCAATTCAGTTAGTACAGGTACTACCAGAAGTACAAATAAAATTTTAAACCCTTTTGCAATTGCAAAGCAAAATTTGGATATGAGTTGTGAACCTATTTTGCTCCTTAAAATTGTGAAATAATCTAAAATTAGCAAATGTAATTAAAAAAGCAGAAATCTACAACTCCCCAGTCTTGTTTTCACGTCTTATTTAGCAAATTTCTTTCGTGAAAAAGTACTATGGACAGAAAGTAAGAAAAGTGATTGTGATATCAACCTGAAGATAATTTCCTCTTCATATTTATGTACATAATGCTGAAAAATAAAATGACTTTTTACAGTATTTATATTTGCGTGTAAAATTCTAAACACATTTTTAACAGGTTAAGCAGTGTGTTTTTTTAAACGTGTCTGTACAGTCTGGCTATATACCATATGTTATCCACTTAAAATGTAAAAATAACCAAAAAGCTGTTAAAGTGCTGCAAACTATTGCTTAATGACTTAAATAATGAGATCTGTTGAACAATTTCCTTGACTTTACCACTGACATATGGTTTCTCATAAATAAGATTCTGAGCAGGGAGAGAAACCAGATACAGCAGCACGGTAATATAAACATGCATTGATAGCATCCAAACTATCTATAAATGGTACAGAATACATTTTATTACCTGTGTAAAGCTTGCACTCTACATTTCTTGTGGTACATATTTGATGCAATAAATACTGTGCTTAGGTCATTATTTTTTTTGCTCAAACGTGCACCACAGGGCAAAATGACTATTTACATAATAAATAGCATTTCATTAACATATACAGTGTCAACCTTGCTGAGAGCCAAAGATGGCTAAACAAAGTGCAGGATAAAGCAGAAATTTATAAAGAGTTATTTTGGTCAATTCAGTCTTCTGGCGGTGGAGGGTGAGGGGCAATATTCACTATTCAGGTTTTTTTTTTTTTTAATACAACAAAAAGAAACATAACATTTATGACTCCAGACATTTGAATGAAGTTTGCACCTGCTAAGATTTACTGGCCTACCCGCAAACTATCTACTTGGTCTAGGGGCTGGATTTTGCAAAATAAGATCAACAAAGCACCTCCACTTATCACCCAATTACCCTCCCAGAAATATGGTGAAATTTAAGAACTTGTGTTTCTTGTGACTTTTTCTCATGCATGATCTCTAAGTGCAGCATGCCCTCATGCAAACCACGACTTTGTGTAGCTGGGAGGGCCATGTGGTTGCCATACCCCCAGGTGGCATACCTGTTATAGAGGTCCTTAGCCTATTTCTCAACAGAAACTTCGTTTACAAAAATAGTCACATATAATAAACACATGGATTAACAAAAAGATGAATCCACTAACAGATTCCGTAAAAATGTGACAAATGTGGCAGTTGAAATGCAAACAGTGGATACAATTACTATACTAAAGTGTTTCATGTTAAACAACCCCAAAATTATAGGTTTGCACCCCTTGAAACTGGTCCCTACAGTCTGACTAGCCATTGTGTATCTTATCTTCAGCAGTGTCAGCTGGTAGTGAGAACAGTAACCTCCTGTCAAGGTCGTCTCCCCTTTACACAGAGTCACAGTTTACTGACAAGGGGTCACTGTCTTATTGTAGGCACTGACCTTAAGGAGATTTGTGTAAAAACAGTCAGTTTGGCATTGACCTCCTAAAGGAGTCCTGTTGATAAAAATACATCACCTTCACAGGCTGTAAACAATTTGTCACCCAATTATTTTTATTTGTTTTCATTTATTTCCCTTTGGCTTTTTCATCTTTGCCTTCTTGCTCATGTTTTTCCACAATTGGCTTTGTCACCCGGTCATAGGAAGGTGGACAAGCTGCAGTGGACATGGTCAGATCAGTTTTTTCTGTAATAGAGTTTTCATTTATTCTGTCAATTATCATGTCTTCTTTTATAAGATTAGCCCCACCTTTGATTTTGTTTTTATTGTATGTAAAGGAAGCTTGTTTTACAGTTCGCTTTAAAAGGTGGCGTCTGTAAGCACGCTGAATAATAACAGCAGATACTTCCTCTTGTTTTCGTTTTAAAGTAGTAGTGATTGGCTGATAGGAGACCTTGGAAGGATTGGAAGCCATGAATCGCTCTTCCATCTGTATTCGTAGAGCATCCATCTCTCCACTCTCTCCTAGAACCCGCTTTGTAAAAGCAAATAAGATATCAAGACAGTGGATCCGGTCACCACTCACCATGGGCAAATCCATGGCAATGAGCTGGAGTTTGTTTGGTTGTGGCAGATTGAGAGGCGGTTCAAGTGCAGCTGCAAACTGAGATAATTTTTCAAATTCCATGAACTGAGTTGCATCGGGATCAAACTTCTCCCAAACCTCATAGAACATCTCAAAGTCATCCTCACTCAGGGGCTCTGCACTTTCTTCAGTAGCAACACTGAAGTTCTCCAGGATGACCGCGATGTACATGTTCACCACAACCAGGAAGGATATGATGATGTAACTGACAAAAAAGAAAATTCCAACAGATGGGTTCCCGCAATCTCCCTTAACTGAGCTTCCAGGGTTAACTTTATTAGGGTCACAGTCGGGTGGCTTACTGTTGAGAATGGGTGCTAGCAATCCATCCCAGCCAGCAGAGGTTGTAATTTGGAACAGGCAGATCATGCTGTTGCCAAAGGTCTCAAAGTTGAACATGTCATCGATCCCAACTTCCCTCTTAACATAGGCAAAGTTAGACATCCCAAAGATGGCGTAGATGAACATGACCAGGAAGAGCAGGAGGCCGATGTTAAATAACGCAGGAAGGGACATCATCAAAGCAAAGAGCAGCGTGCGGATCCCCTTTGCTCCTTTGATCAGACGTAGGATTCGGCCAATCCTGGCAAGACGGATCACTCGGAACAGGGTAGGGGACACGAAATACTTTTCTATCAGCTCGGCGAGAAACATACCTAGAATAAACAATGAGAATACCAACCAGTGAAGAAATCATGCGTTAAAAATAAACATATGTTTCTTCTAAAGCTCCAAGGTAAAGTTCAGAGTCCTGAACTCAGTTATATTATCTTAAATATGGCAGCTATATAATATATATATACAATTGCATATTATATATTATAAATAAATCTTAATTTTGAAATTCAGCAATAATTTCAACTATAAGGATTACAGTACTTTTTTTTATCTTTAAGAGATGTTTATAAACTACTTTTAGTTTACGTAAAGTACCAAGTCAGAATTTAGAAATAAAATAAGTTAAAAATTCACATTTGACTGAACAGTAGCGGCCCAACAGTATAGGTACAAGTTTATATGTATACGGTGACTTTTTCTGAAATTGCCATATTCTAAATTCTCTATTTACTCCATTTCCATCTGAAAGTATTGGTAGCTTTTGATGCTACTTTCACCTCCCCATGATCTTGGTACTTACTTAAGTTCCACTCTAATATTTTTATATACTTATTTATGTATGTTCTGGTGCATTTCTAAAAGGATCCCAGGTTGATGCTCTTTTTAGTCTCCTGTACTTAATGTTGTATTTCAATTCTTTTTGGTCTCCTGTACCTAACACTGTAATCTCAGTCTTCTTATTTTAACCTTCTCTCTCCATTTGCTTTTTAAATAAAAACTATATTTGTAAAGTTAAAAAGAAGAGCTCAAGAAACTAAATGCCTTCAAGTTTAAATGCCTCATTCTGAAAAGACAAAGTATAAGAGTGTGTGTGTGTGTGTGTGTGTGTGTGTGTAAGAGAGAGAGAAGGAGATGTGTAGGAATACACCTTTATACCTCAGCCATACTAGTTATAACCAAGGATTATAATTAGTGGGAATCAAAGGCTGTATACAATGTGTTGGATATAAGGCCAGTTTCTTCAGAGAAAGGAGTGGCATGAAAATCTGTCCAACAGAGGTGCCTTGTTTTGAATAGCAAAATATTGAACCAGTCATATCATCCTGTTTAGGGAAGAATGAATAGTTTAGGCCCACAGACAGATGCTTTTCACTTTACTAGAGCTTTAGTTGTGTCTAATGAAATGAGCTATTGCTCATGAGGCTAGTTATATGTTCCAGGCTTTGAAGTATAGTACTAATGATGTCCCATGTCATCGTATTTCCCTTGTGCATCATTATTATAAACCCATTTTTAAGGTAGTCTAGAAAATCTCTACATGACACTCGTAAAGAACCTACTATATGCATTTGCTAATAATGTTTTGTCCTTGTCTTTATTCTCTTTTTACGCAATACTTTTCCTTATCTTGAAACCACTTTCCACTAATAGCTATATGCTAGTGACTCCATGTCTATTCCCTAAAGCAATTTTCCTGAGTACCAGACTACATTTCTAGTCTTGTTAATGGAACCATCTAGATACTGTATTGGTTCTTCAATCTCAACATGTCAAAAACATTTTTATCTTACTTAATAGCACAGGTCTAGTTCAAATGACTACATTTACACTAAGTATAATTATTCTAAATGGATAGAATAAGAAACAATACTGACTACAGTAGGAGACATTATGTTAAAAAACCAAACACATCTGGATAAAATGTATCAAAATATTTACAGTGATTATCTCTGATTGCTGGGATGATCTTGAATCTAATCTTGATTGTTTCAACTTTCACTTCTATTTAACTGAATTTAAGAACTTTAAATATTTCTTACCTACAATGGAGAGAATGACAACCACAAAATCAAAAATATTCCAGCCAATGGTAAAGTAATAATGGCGTAGAGAGATGAGCTTCAGTACACACTCTCCAGTAAACAGCACAATGAACACCAGATTGATTCGTGACAAAATGGTAGTCACATATTCACTCTGGTCATCTGTTTCCACCATCATTGTGACCATGTTAAGACAGATGAGAATCATGATGCTTATGTCAAAAACTTGTCTGGTTACGAAGTCAAAGACCATTCCTTGAAATTTGTTCTGTAGAGAAATAGAAATGCTTTTAGCAATAAAGGAGTTTTCTCATGTGCGTTAGCATCAAGTACTTTCTGCATTAATTGACTTTCTAGTTTCTTGCACAGTAGTCATTGACTCTGATTTTTGTAAGAATGATTTATAGCATATTAATTGTTAAAATTTAGTTATTTAAATTGCCATTTACTAATGTGCATTTCTCAGAATAGCAATCCCTTGTCCAAAGAGGGTTTCTGATGGAAAAAAAAACAAAAACAAAAAAAAAAAAAACCGGAACACTCGATACTGTATATTTCTTCCAGAGGTATGCAATGCATATCAACATTTTAAGATTATGAGAAGGTAAGAAACCCATTTAATTTCTTTTCAAGACTTTCCAATGATCAGCTGGACTATACATCCATTTTAAAATATAGTACTATTAATATGTCACTTGTATTCTGAAATAATTGTTAAAGAGAATTTGGAATTTCCAGGACACATCTATAACATTATGCATTTAAATACCACATCAATATTCATATTCTTCTATCAAATAGCCTTGGCTAACATTGTCAGACACAGAATGCTGAACCTGCACAAGGATAATGGGACCAGAATGACATTTCTTATATGTTTATGTCAAAAAAATTCATGTTCTTTGTCATTGATCTGTGATTCTGCTTCCCAGTTCTGCCACTGCTGGTCACTGAGCGTCATCTGCAGGCTTATTTCTTTGGGCCACTGAGGAATTCTGAGGGCATTTTCTCACGTATTTTTCCTACAAATTGTTGGTTCTTTTCTACTTTCAGTGCTAATTTTAACAGAGAAAGTACATATTTCTCATCACTCTCAGGAAGGCAATATTCAGTCATCACAATATGAATATTTGCTAGTATTTTTTCCTTGATGCACCCTAGGAGTTACTGAAACCTCTCAGATCATCATCATAAACATCTTTAGAGTGTGGGATAATAGCTCTCCATTTTAATAGCAGTTTGTTTGTTTCATCATGGAAGCATGAGTATTGTTATTTATCATCATAAACTGTAATTACTGACCCTGACTTCTGCAGACATTAGTAATATCTAACTCTGTAACCATATATATGAGTAGTAGATACTGGAATTCTTTCCTCCTTTAAAACACTTAGTATCTCTAGTGAAAAATAAAATAGAAGTAAGGTGCCATTTCACTCAACACTTCATCCATTTCTTAAAATATTAGAAAATTGCATTTCTTATAGCCCCATCCAAAGGTTTACTTCTTTCCCTGATATTACTTGGCAACCATTCTTGAGTTGTGTGATTAACTTTCTCTTGTGCATATCACATGGTCTATGTGTCCATTGGCCAATTAATATGGATTCTAATGGTATGCTTCTAAATCTCTTGAAGTCAAGGCATCTTCTATTTTTTCTTGTTCTTTTTGGTGTTTAATTTTTGTTGTTGTTACCATTACCATAAAAGATACAAACTAATGATGCTCTAAAAGTGAAAGAATTTTTTTCTACTGGAAATGTTAGCTACTTTCTTTATTGTGAGACAACCATGCAAGTTTTTGTTTTTATATTTTCCCCCATATCATTTGGTATTTCTTACTCCTGGTCGAGGTATAGGCTTTTGCGGTTTTTTCGATCCTAATTTTTTCATTGCATTATAGTATTTCTTCTGTTCTTCTGTCATAAAGATGTCTTGACCTCCAAAGTATAGAAAAGAAAAATCAAACTGGTTAAAACTGTGTCCTTTTGCACATATTTTTTCAATGTTAAAATAGAAAATGTATGGCTAAAAAAAAAATGCAAAATTCAACTGATTAGCATAATTATATCTGTGATTCAAAATGTGAAAAATTGAAAGTTCTCTTTAGGTATGATAATAATATCTAATTCCTTAAATAATTCAAAATTGACTTTATTATTATTTTCTTATGAAGACAAACCCCCAAATCTCAAAAAGGTTAAGTATTTAATCCAAGACCATATGCTTAGTGAATGGTGAAATTTGGTTCACTGAGATAATAAATACTTGGTACCTTATACTATACATACTACCTTTATGATGTTAAAGGTAATAATTTTCTTATTTAAATGTAGCAAAGAGTTAGAGTATGTATACTGCAAGATGGTTTGGAGTTACTCATTAAAAAAGTCACTCCAACTCTGTCAAGAATTGGAGCAAAGGGATAAAAAGAAAACTGGATGAGTGAGTGAGAGATTTAGGGGATAAATCAGAGCTCATAGCATAGTAAGTATGGGACAGACTAGTAGGGATAGAAGATTGGAACACTGGCAAGTAAGTGAAATGGAGTAGCCTGATATTGACTACAGAATACTACTAGTAATAAGAAAAGGGAATTGAGGGGAGAATGTTCTGTAGTGAAAGAAAGCACTCATTATACAAAAAGCAAACATACTGAGCAAGTGAGATGAAGCAACAGTACATAAAGGAAGAAACACAAATGGCCAACAAGCATTTAAGAACATGTTCAAATGTAATAAAATACATAAAAGTCATAACAATTAAGGTGATAAAAGTCATAAAAATTAAAATTAAATAGTTTTCACCTATTAAATACCAAGTATTCAAAAACAAAGAGAATGTTTGGTGACAGTGAGGGAATAGTGGCATGGGTGCTCATACACTGTTATTGGGAGTTTGAGTAGATATATTACTCTGGGGGAGTAAAATACTTCATTATGGGAATTTATTCTAAGGAAATAATTAAAGCCTTATTTTCTCTCTCTCTCTCTCTTTTTTTATGTACGAAGACTTTCAACAAGGTACTATTTAAATCATTAGAGATTAAAAACAATCTAAATTATCAACCTACTAGGGAATGAATAAGTAAATTATGATAATGTATGTATGAAGACTTAACAAAATGAGAAAATACTGATGTTAAGTCAAAAGTGGAATTTATAATTATAGATAAAAATTAAAACAATAAGTATGTATAGAAATAGTCTGAACAGAAAAGCAAAATGTGAATGGCAGCAGTTACTTCCAAGTGAAGATATTTATTTACTTTCCATATGTTCTATAATGTACATAGGTAACTGGGACAATCAAATGAGCCTTATAAATGATAAATAATAAAGAGTCATACAATTCAAGACTGAAAGGGATAGCTTATAATTAAATATCTTGGAGAAAGAAGTGGGAATATATAAAAGAAATCAATGAAAGAAAAAAGCATAAAAATAAACACTAGAAGCAGCTTACATCCGGTTTCCTAATTTCAAAAAATTAGTTGGAAAATGTATTTTCAAGGGGGAGTGGGTAGTTGTACGGATAAAATAACAAGTTGTTTTCGGGAAAGGGGCATATTAGGTTGCTTTCTAGTTTTATTCTAATTATTATTATATTTAAGACAGAAACTGTATCTTGATAATGGATAAAAGGAGAAAAACTTTATGAACCTATGCACAAGAGTGTGGAACACAGCTATTCTTAGCTTTCTATAGCTGGAAATATATGGATAGTGAATGACAGAGGGAGGGGAAGGAAAAATCAGTTATAATATATACTCCCATTTGGTTTCTAAATTCAAGTACGCATTTGGCAGAGAAAACACTTCAAGGAATAATTTTCTATCTCAGTGGGAGAGAAAATATTAGAAATACTTATCTTCTTTTTCTGCTGGTTGAAATTATCTATGATGACACCAATAAACAGGTTCAAGGTGAAGAAGGACCCAAAGATGATGAAAATAACAAAGTAAAGATACATGTACAGACTTTCTTCATACTTAGGCTGGAGTTCCACCTACCAAAGGAGATTATTTTGTAAAATATTACCATACATTTTAGTGCTGGAAATATCATTGGTGCTTTTTCATAACAATAGAAAAAAATTATTCTTACTAATATGTCAGCATTTTTTTTTTTTCTGAATCAACTACCTCTAAAAACATCCCTGAAATTAGCCTTTAGGGATGTTTTCATGTGAAAAATGTGGCTACTATGACATTCTAAAATCTATTTTTATAACTATAAATACAAATACTATTCTTCCATTTGAACAGTAATGTGCTAAATTTACAAGCTTTTAAGGTACTGAATTTTAGTAATTTTAAAATTATTAATAAAAAATTTTAAAACTGTAAATATCCATAGGCTAGGTTTAGAAATCATTCATGTATGCATGAAATAATGTAGCAAATAAGAAATGAGTTGTTCATTCAGATGTTTGGCACTATACCCTAATGTGACAGTCACTGAATTTTTCAGATTAAGTAGACATAAATGGACAGTTCATTTTATAAATCCTCAGTTGATTATTTAATTCCTAGATTGTGCTTATAACAAATGGACTATTACTTATAATTTAGTAATGGACTGAAAAAGTCACTACAATATTTTAACAGATTCCTGTCCTTCTAAAGGCAACAAAGTTAAAAGCCAACTAAACACACAAAACAAAATATAAGTGACAAAGTGAAATAAAACAACTCTGGAGGTTATCAAAATGATATTCAACATAAAACTAAAGCTATTTGAAATGCACTTCAAGAAAGATAACACCAAACTATCAGGTTGAAGACTGCAGGGACAAAGGTTATTCTTCATGATGATAAACTAAACAGATGAGACTTCAGGATAGAAAGATGAAGGTTGATAGAAAACACTATGTCTTGCAAAGTTTTGAAGAGCAAAGTTGGAATGAGCGTGAATTTCAGTTTAGGTCATAGAGCCTTAAAGAGGCTGAAATCAAATAAAATAGGTTTATACTTTGGTGATATACACTCAAAGGAATCTGTTGGCCACAGAAATGATTGCAACTTCAGTCAATTTATGGAGGCTAAAAATCATATAAAAGCATTCTTTTATTTGGTTTAAAATATGATTATTTGAAAGAAATCAACACAGTAATCTAAGACTGACAGAACAATATCCATAAGTTTTCATGATGTCTAATATGGAGGGTGACTATACATTTCAACTAATGATAGAAATCATATATTTCTTCAAATTTGGCCCTGTACACTAAAATTACTACTAATTATATAATGTGTGGATAAATAGGAAACAAAACAGAAAATATTTAAAAGAAAAATATTTGTTAGTTATTAAATATATGAATTTCTTACTTTGGTTTTCAAAATAATGCATGTGTTGAATTATCTTAGTAAGATCTTTCTGATAAACATTGCTGTGCTTGAATACTTACCTGACACACTTTTTCCCAAATATTTTAAATCAAGATAGAATCATTTCGTTTGGTTATATTTTATCTGATTAATTTTACTACCTGGTCAATATTATAAAAAGACTTAGAATACAAGGAATACTTACATTTCTGGAATCAACTGCTGCATACATTATATCCATCCATCCTTTAAATGTGGCCTATTAAGAAGGACATGCATGTTTTACTTTGGAGTAAAAAATAATTTAGACCTGATGTTTAATAAATATTCTTACTGATATAATTTTCAAAAGGAAATATTTTTGAAAGACATTTCAAAACAAATTTTACATAGATTTTGGACCAAGACAGTATGTTAGTAAGGCTTTTCATTTCTAGAACACATATTGAACAAAATGACCATTTGATATATCCTCCCGTTTGATAACCAACTCACAAGTACTTTTCAATTCTTTAGAGTTCATGGTATCATGATATTTAAAGCAGTATTAAAATTTGCTGGAGCACTTTTAGGAGGTCTTACAAATGCGAACACATATGTCAATAGCTCTATCAGGCTAATAATTACAACTTAGATCTAAGGATTATCTGCTAAAATTTATCTGCAGGGTGATCAAAGTGATTGAAAATTTAAGATTTCTCTTTATTATAACAATGTAAGGATAGTACCAGGATACATAAAGGCAGGGTTGCAACTATCTTTTTAAGAATTTTGGAGCAAAACATTTAGAAATAATCCCATATTCTATTTTCTTTCTGAAATTCTTGAAGATAATAACTTAATATGAATAAGAAATGTGAACAATAGTACAGCAGACACTTGGCACTCACAGGATGAAGGATACTCAGGCTAACAACCTACAGTAATTTGTTACTTGTCCTAGGGCATGAATTTTGAGTCCTGTGGGCCTAAAAGGATTATTCCTTAGCTAGTGAGGGAGGCTAGCAAAGCTTTAGCATCTGTATCACAATATATCTTTGTTTTGATAACACTAACCCTTGTGAAGTGGTGGATATCATGAGACAAAAGCTAAGCAAGGGTGTGGGTGACAGCAGTGAAAAGAAATTAATGATTCTTAGCTAGAAAGTACAAGGCTTTTGTACATGAAAGAGAGATGTGTTAAATATGTCAGTGGCTTAGGTCAATGATAGAACAAGTTCATTACACACTTGGTATAGAAACAGAAAAAAGTGATTCAAGGGGCCATTTCAATGACTTACTAATCAATAGAGAGGTGATTCTATAAAAGCCAAATGTGAAGCAGTATTTTAGAGGGTTTTTTTTTTTTTTTTTTGGTAGCAGAATTTATTTAACAGCTTTGTACAGGACCATCACTATATTTTCAAAATTGCTTACATTTTAAAGGATTGCTTAAAATTTTTAATATTTCTTTCCTCAAATTTATGGAGGAAGTGGTTGCTTTAGTGATATTTACAAGTGTGGTCATTAGTTAAAGGTTACAATAAATGCCCAAATAAATGTCATCATGTGTTGACAATTTTTAAAGAAAACATTCTTGCCAGATTTTTTTAACTTTTATTTTTATTTGTCTTTAGATACAGGGTCTCACTATGTTGCCCCCACTGGTCTAGATCTCCTGGCCTCAAGCAATCCTCCAGTTTTGGCCTCCCAAAGAGCTGGGATTACAGGCATGAGCCAACATGCCCCACCCGTTCTTGCCAGTGGGACATTTTTAAAATAGAGATTTTAAAAATCTCTATTTTAATTGCATGAATATTCCGAGTAGGTCAAAAATGTTAAGAAGATAAATAAGAATTTCCAACAAAAAGGTGGGAAGAATTTGTAAAGTAATCATAGTAGACACCTCTGGAAGAGCTGCAAAAGGGTTTTGACTAGTGTTGGTTTGTTTGCTTAGTTAGTCTCCCGGCTGAACAGTTGAAATCATAACCTTGGTGAGCAAAAATTGATTTCTGCCCTAAAGACACTGTAGAACCGCAAGGGAAGAAAGAAATTGTACAGTCTTTTTTTTTTTAAGCTGAATTTTCAAATAATCTGGACTCTTATTTTATTCCCTGCTTTGTTGTGGTGCTGCTGCAGCTAGAAGCAGAATCAAATGAAAATGTTAAAAGGGCTACCTTTTTAAATATGAATTATAAGCTATTTTTCTTGGATACCCAGTCTTAGAGACCCAATAGTGAAAACATTAATATTTAGGATAAAATAGACTTAAATAATGGTGCTGAAAGGTCATTTGAGACAAGATAATAGCTGCTTGTGCTTCATTTTTGTTTCTAGTTGCTTTCAGGTATTATTTCCACTTCACTATGGGGACCTAATTCTCTCTCTCTCTCTCTCTCTCTCTTCTTTTTGTTTTAAATGGAGTTTCGCTCTTTGTTGCCCAGGCTGGAGTGCAGTGGCACAATCTTGGCTCACTGCAATCTCCGCCTCCTGGGTTCAAGTGATTCTCCTGTCTCAGCCTCCTGAGTAGCTGGGATTACAAGTGCCCACCACCACATTTGGATCTAATTCTAAAACCTGAATGTCATTCCGCAAACGTTGATTGAAATAATAGACTTCAGCAGCAGTTAATCCCTACGAATTAATTACAGTCCAATTAGGTGTATTAAGTGTATGTGTTTTGGAAGATGATCTATCTGTTAAGTGTATTCTGTTTTGGTAGCTGATCAGTGAAACAAGCCTTCTAATCACAATAAAAATGGCAAAGTTACTGATTTATTTATTAACTTGTTTATATAGAAAGAAAGAGCAATATGGAAACAAAGAAAATACAAGAAAAAGACAAAGAGGTCTTTGTTTGGCCTGGTCACTACTGACTATATCTGTAGTCCTTACATGTAATAATGTTTTCACCCAGCTGGGCTCATAAACTTGTACTAACAAACTGAAATTTTTTAAATAGAAAGAAATATATACTTTTTCTTAGGTACTAAATAATAGATGTGTGTAATTATTTTATTATTCCAAACAATAAAAATATTCAGAGAAAATAGTGTTCACTTACAACTTGAAGCAAAGAGAGATACCCAAATCCTACATTATCAAAGTTTACTTTCACATTTTTCCATCGAGCAGTCTCATTTCTTTCTATTAGTTTTAGGCAATCAGTATAATTATTCACGTCTTCGATGTCAAACCTGTCACCAGTTGTGGTGTTAATACAGTGGTAGAATTTGCCAGCAAACAAATTTACGCCCATGATGCTGAAAATTAGCCAGAATATAAGACAAACCAGAAGCACATTCATGATGGATGGAATTGCTCCTAAAAGGGCATTCACAACCACCTAATACACAAATGGAAAAAAAGAAAAGTCAGAATTCTTATCTGTTAATAAAGAAAAAAAAATTCCCCTAGTAATCGCTGGCCTTCCCATTTTTTTTTTTTTCTATCAAGGCTATTTATTCTAGGATATTTAAAAGCAAGGTTTAAAAAAATCTTAAAATACATTTTTTTTCTTAAGCAATACACTTAGGAAAACAACTATAGGCAATATAACCAAGAAATGAAACAAAAACATTTTTTAAAAAAAGGGAGGGAGAAGCATTAAAAGGTTAAAGGAAAAGCAAAATCGGAGGAACTTGCTGCCAGATGAAGTTAGAATTGTGTTGTTTATCAGAAAAAAGAAAAGTTAAAAAGCCTATGCAGAAGTTTAACTCATTTTAAAAAGGCAGTATATTAAAGAACAAAACTAAAACATTTGGACCTGAGTTGATTTGACCAATATATTTTTTAAATAACTTAAAAATTCAGATAATGAATATAAAAAATTATTAAATACCTAATATAATTGTCATTAATTATTCATGCATTGCTATGACTAATAATTTTTGCATAAGAAGCAAGACAATTTGCATTATGTATTTCATTAGATCATCACATCGTTTATTTCAAGCTCCAGTCATGTCAGTTGTTTCATTTACTGAGTTTAATTCAAAACACTTATTTCAAATGAAACATAATAGAAATCATTTCTTAGAAAAATAAGAAAAAGAGGGATGCTATACATAGTTCTCAAATCTGATGTGATCACATGAAGCTCTGTGTTCAATTATTATCTACTTTTTTTTTCTATAGAAGGATGTCTTCCCCCTCTTTATTTCTGGACCACTAGTTAAAAATCTGAGTGTTCATGTTTGGCAACAACATAGGGGTGGCTTCCTTACTTTCTCCTCCATCCCTCCCACTGGAGCTGCACAGGAGTGGCTAAGAGGGAAGGTAAAAACAGACCCTAAAATGCTTGTAAGGGGCAGCTGCCTTAAACTTGGACATTAATAGCTGTGTTTAATTCCACCTATGTGCTTGTATTATTCTTGTCAACCTGATCCAAAGGAAGTGGTCATCAAAACATCTTCTATTTGCCATTTGATGCCAGTGTATTTTTAGAACTATTTTTTAACTGCCTGTCTGTAAACAAAAATACATGAGCCAATTTCTTATACTTCTGAGCCCTGTTTAAAGTCTGTAAAGAACTCTAGGTCTTCTGGGGAATATAAAACAGTGTGATAAGTGGGCCAAAGAAAATAAGAATACCAGTAATGACAAAGGTGGAGGGGATGAGTATGAAAAATTAATCTGGTTGAGTTATCCAGGCAGAACGAAATGATGTGGCCTATGCAACCTACCAAGCTGACAGGTGACACTTTGCCATATCTCATCTGACTATCTGTATTAATACAATGGGCTTCATAAATTCTTGTTTTATGATTTATTTTAAATGAATGGATGGAATTAGATTTCTTTCAGATTAGAGATTTGGAAATTGAAATCAAGTTACTATTTATTTGTCTTCTTTCCCGATTATTTTGTCCACTATCCAGATTACAATGCTGTTTCTAGTGTGTATACACAGAGTACTAATTAAAATATGTATTTTGCCTTCAACACCCAATTTAGAGTATGAGCAGAACACTGGTTGTCTATACCACTTCTTGATTTTCTTTTCACATTACCTGTCTCACATTTTTTCTTCAAAATATTTCTCAGCTTTGTCACCTCTTTTCCATTCTCACAGTCACCACCTAGAACCGCCCTCTGTTATTTCATACTTGTACTATCGTCAGTCTCCTAACCTTCTCCTTCATTTAATCTATGTAAGATGAATTAATCTTCCCCAAATCCCACTTGAAAGTTGTTTATTGGCTCTCTGGTAACTACCAAATATTTTTCTTACCTTGCTATTCACATCACTCCACAATCTATATTTCCGGTTTTAACTTCCCTGGTCATCTATACTTCATGCCACTTCAATTAATATAATAACCATATGCTAATATGATTGCCAGATAATTGAGATGTCATTTACCTTGAAATTCCTTGTCTAATAGCTCCTTTTCTGAAATACTCTCCCCTCTCAAAGGCTTTAGTTCAAATAGCACTTCTTTCATGGAGCCTAACTTTGCCCCCCCAGTTTAGCCTCCTAAATAAAGAGGAATGTTTTCCCCTTTGAATTCAAGAATCAGAATTCTAGTACTGAACAGAACTGTACAGATAATTCAGTATTGTGTTCTCATTTGGCATATGAGAAAAAATAAGGTTATAACAAGTTGAGTTCAGAAAGTAGTCTATAAATAGCATCTAGTGCTCTTTCCAGTCTACATGGAAGAGTTGCTCCCACTTATCTTGGTACCATATTACTGTGTACTAGAGTTCAGTGTAATCCTGACAGCTTGTAAGGTTTTCTAAAAATTTAAGATGCAAAAATATGTTCATGAATCTTCCAGGGCCTTAAGTGTCTTGAATATAGGAATATACCAGAGAGCTTTGAATACAGGAATAAAATAATGGTTGACAAAATGAATGGATTAATGAAGCAAAGTTTAGCTTAGTATTTATTGATTAAAGCATAATTTTAAAATGTTATTTCTGAATATGGCTGAGAATAATTAAGGAACGGAGCAGAGGGAGAAGTTTGTGCTTAGGTAATATGTATGAAAGGTTTACTTTGAAACTGGGGATTGATTTAGAGTTAAAATGAACTCTATGGAATTTATGATGCAAGCATGTATTCTGCAGCCGTGCAGCTCAGGATATGATTCGCAAAGTTGGCATACATTTGGCCCAGAGAAAAGTTGTATTTTTTTTGTGAATATAAAAGAACCTTATCTTAGAAAACACTTGGCACAGTATTGGGGAATTTACTATACAAAGCTATAGTCATATTTATGATGTATTAAATTAGACAATGAAAGATCATAGAAAAGATTGTCTTTTCCCAAGAGTTCCAAGCCATTCCTTGGTTCAGCAAAGCAGGAGGTGGATTAACTTTTTTCAGTCTCAATAAAACTGCAGTAATTGGTTCTCATGGCGGGAAGAAAGTAGGCAGAATTAGTCTGAATAAATTGGAAAGAACAAATTGAACTTTCAGGCTACATGAAAGGAGATGTCTGAGAAAGGAACTATCTTAATGAATTAATACTGTACTAGAGGTTGTTTCTTCTCAGAAGCTTTTTTTCAAAACAAATATCATCAAATAAAGTTTCTCTGCTCTAGCACAACCAATTCGATTTCTGGTTCATTACCTGCATTTTTAAAAATATGTCTACACCAAATGAAGGCTTGATGATTAAATATGCAAATTCACATTAGAAATTTTCATACATGCAGAAATGTCTTTTTATCTGAATTAATTACTTTTGAACTTCAGATCAACACTATTTATGAATTCTAGTGTTTCTGTAATAGAAATAAAGAAAATGTATGTGAATAAAAATAAAAAGTAGGCAAAGTAGGAATTATCCATTTTTAAGTATGAAGAAGAGTAATAGAATCTTTCTTTAAAAATCTAAAATAATCGTACTGTGGGTTTTAATTAAGACAATTATTTTTGTAAGCTATGATATATCAGTGATCCAAACAAAAATTCTGACTTTTTCTGTCTCTCAAAAATAAGAACTCTTCTTCTTGTATAATACACTTAAACTTTAAGAATAAATAAAATGTAGAGTTATGTTTATGTATGTTTTGACTGTGATATCTTTTAAAATCCTAGAAAGTTAGTTGGGAGTTACTTATTCTAAGAAGTGAGTTTATGCCTCAAATTTTATCTTAATGCTCATGATAAGATGTTTTTGTTTTATTTCTAGGTGTGTATTCTATTCTGCATAATTCAAATAAGTGGATTCTTTTATACTAACTTTTTGTTTACGACACAATTCACATGTGCTTAATTCAACTATTTCTTAATTAATTTTTTGCCTTGTTAACATTTTGAAAATAACCCCATATGAACTTACACAATAAAAAATGAGAATGGTCACAATCAATACCAGTCTTATAAAACCTGAAATATTGCACCCTAGTATCTGCTCATACGTATCAAGAATCAACTGATGGTATCTCACTGGTAATTTGCAGGACCCAGACCAAGGTACTAAACAGCAGGGGCTGTATGCCTCAAACAGTATTATGAGCTTAACAAGTTAAACTGTTTTTTCACATAATTGTTCTACACCAGGGTCCCCCGCCCTCACCAATCAAGTAATCTCCCCATAAATGGATAACTCCATATACACACAACTAAATCATATTCAATGAAACTTCATAAAGATATCAACCATTGGGGTTAAAATCCACAGAGGGTAAATTCATAAAGGTCTTTTTTTTTTTTTTTTTTCCCCCAAATGAAATTTAAGACAATTGAAAAGAGGGGATTAGGATGTAAATACTGTATTTTCCCTACTGTGGTGCAATAATAGTACCCTTCCCAATCCCTCCCTCACCCCACTACACATAAGTCACAGTGCAAGGATTAAAGGTAGCAAAAGGGGTAATACAGTACCCATAATAAAGGGCTCAGGGGAGGAACCAGCGCTCCACCCCATCCAAGTTGGAGCAAGATTATCCTATACAAAATAGAAATATATAGTTTGTTATTAGTTAGAGATCTGATATGACAGAACATTTGGTGTTATCTTTTGTTCATGATGCTCTCTGTCTGTTTCCCTATCAATTAAGACTTGAGTTCTTTTGAAAAAGAAGGTATTTAAGATTTCCTAGGTTAGGAAATTAAAACTACAAATTTAAATACAAATTTTATTTTACCCTAGATATTAGCGACATCAATTCACTCAGTTTAATTTTACAAGTTGAAAAATTTGGACTGGAAATTTGAAATACAATAAATGTTTAAAAGCTGTCAGCCAGAAATGTGCATAAAACATGCAAAACACAAAGTGCAACGTGATGATAATTTATTTGTTACTTTCTAACTTCTTATGAAGCACTGTACAACATGCTTTATTCAGTAATGTTGCATAAAAGCACATGCTTTGAAAAAGTAACAGAACAACAAAAATAAAATGAGTGCCTGTGTTACGCTTTGACGCAGCTATTGCGATTTTATGCTGCTAGGGCAAAGAATTAAATGAGAGTTTCTGAGTATGTTCAAATCTCACTTCCCAATCATAATATCATTCTTATATCCAACCTCACCATCACTCGTGATTATATTTTTACAAAATAAAAAAATCCAAACACTAGAAGTATAAAAAATAGAATCAAGTATAAGGTTATTTTGACTCTACAATGCCAAACACGTATTGAAGAGATCAGTCATTTTAGTGCTGTGTATATGCTGTCATTATGAGGAATAGAGCCATATTCATAAATCTCACCATTTAAATGATTAGTTTTATCACTATCAACATTTATAAGGATTTTATGTCTAAAACTCCAAGTTTGAAAAGGTAACCTCTTTTAATATAAAGGGTATTATTGATTAATAATTATAGATATGGTTATTTCTGAGAAAATTAAAAGCATACCACGAAACCAACTTTTTTATAGCAATGAAGTGTAATGTATGGAGATATCTGAGCACTTGACCAATGAATGGATTTAACAAATTTTCAAATGGTCAGATGTAAAAGGTTTATAATATTTTCAAAAGTTTAGCATTGTTCAGATTGCATAACCCATATAAAATATATTACTTTGATTCAGGCAACATGTTTTCAAGTAGAATATAGAGAAATGATATTTTTTCTCCAGAACTGAAACTGCCAGTCTGAAACAAAACAAAGTGACATTTAATTGGAAAACAGACTTAATTTTTACATACCCCAGAGAGAATTTCTGATAACATTTTGGTGAAAATGTGAGGCTCTCTGTGAGAAATAAAAGAGGACTACTCGTATTTTATTGTACTGAGTTGTTGATAATGAGGAAAAAGTTTTCATATATATTAGGGAAATCGAAGACAAGTCTTATGTTCTTACGAAGTGACATTTATTATAAGACTTGAGAAGAGAACATAAGGCTATAAACAAT